TTCTGTTTGTAAGGGGTAATCTCCGGAATGACTGAACTGATTTTGATGTTACTTTCACTGGAAGATAGTTTTTATTACTTTTTACCCCAAATTCAAGCGGGTTCGGGATTTACGCGGGAAAAATCGTGTTGACACAAAATCCTAACTACGGGAGTGAAGTCACGGGCAAGTTAGTCTATAATATAATTGATTTAACAAGATTTTCAAAAATTTATCGAAATAAATCTAACGTGTATAAACATGATACAAAATTATAAAAAAGCATTGTTAATGCTAAAATATTAAATTCAGTATTAGAATCGATTACCTCGGTAATAATCAGTACTAAATGCGCTCAGGCATCATGTTAACTGGACCGAATAGTATAGCAGTACAATGTGTGGCGTGTGTGACATTAACATATGCTGTTGTTCTCTTTCTCTGTCTATTGTGATTTTAATAAATAATTACTCTGTATTTTGTCAAAACAATTTTTACTTATGGTAAAAAAAGACCAAACTGGTATTTTTTTGATATATCCTGTTTTTTATATCAAATAAGTAATAAAGTTTAGATCACCTTTTTGGAAGACATAAATCGGTCCTAAAAACAAATAATATCACAATAAGTTCTGTTAATTTTTATAAACGTACCGTATGTAAAAATAAATCGTTTTTTTTTTCAAATAATAAAAAAAAGAAACCATCTTTTTTACAGTTGGTTAAAAAATTAACATTACGGGTAAATTTGGGTAATTTTCGAATCAGTTTCGGACTTTTCTTGGGTGACTAGCGGCAACACTGCACAACCGCCGTTTGTTTGATGTCTACGTTTGAACCGCGTAAATTTTTGTTGATTCCCCTTGTTTCAAATCATTATATAACAAATTAACATTTAAATTTGGCGAAATATGTACCTATCATAGTGTTAATCAACTTCGTTTTTTATTTATATAGATATAAAGATATTAACAATGTACAAGGTGGTAGAGTTTGATGATGGCGGCGTAGGCGTTATTCGACAACAATAGTCGACTCCTAGAAAAAATAGTTGTGTTTGGCCATCAAACAAGAGGATAAATTAAAGTTTGATCGATGGCACAGATCCTGATTCTACCTGGAATATTTATAGCATAAGACGTATGTTTTATGAAACCGGTAAGTCTTTGTATAATACTTGACCTGGTGATTATCAAAAGTGATTTTTTTATTTAAGCCTGTCCTAGCTTGAGAATCTTATAAAACCTATTTATATTGTATATTTTTTAAGACAAATAAGAGGGTAAGCTGTTAGTGCATCACTAAATACTCCATAATTTAGTGCAGATTTTCCACAATTTATTTATACAGACATGCAGCAGGTACAGTAAGCATTTCAATAACTAGTGAAATAGGTTGTGGACTATCTACTTGTGTGTTAATATGGTTATGGTTGTGAGACTACCAACATGCTGTGTATGCAAGCTATAAAATAATATTTAATTGCATGGCTAAATAATATAAGCATACACAACCTCGCTTTGTGGAATTAATCACATTGCAATAATTCCTATCCAATTTTTAGATGTAAGCAGTACTACTGGCGATACTGACGTTTCAAAAACACTATCTTATATGTACTTACTATTACTTTAATATTAATTCAGTCTTTTCTGTTTTACACTTGGCTGCACCTAAGATTTGTTATTTACAAATATGCTATATTAAATTCTTATTAAATGCATATAAATGACATTATTGTAATTATATTTCAGTATCATTGGATTTAACATTGACACTTATTTTAAGGACAATTTGCTTAACTCGCAGTGTCTAGGTAAGAAATACACAAGTATTGTACATTATTACTTTTTAACAGATGTAAAAAATATAATGTTAATATTGCTATGCTCTTTTATGCATAAATATAGCTATGAATAAGTTTAATAATCCCTAAGTGATATGAAATACATTTTCAGATGTAATTGCCCGCCATCTAGCTAACATTGAATTTGCTATTAAAGAATTGCAATCAAATCAAAATGAGATCTTAACAAGGTTAAGGAATCCATCTTCAACTCTATCACCTGCTATGTTGCCTTATGGTATTAAAATATCATGTGATGATTAACAATCTTTACAAGATTCAGAAAATTGGATTTCAAATGATAATTATAAACTGTTGGCAAGTATTCATATGTTTTTTTTATTATTATTTTAATAATAACATTAGTTGGTACTTGTAGTATGTGATATGCAACTCACCTGTTGGAAATTATCACAGATGCTGTACGTCATCATAAGATTGCAGAGTTCGCAACTGATGATGTAATTCAGAATATAATAAGTGGTTGGTTCAGATTTACTAAAGATCTCCATGGAGGAAGAGAAAAGAGAAGAACTACATGTGCCTTCAAACTGACACAAAATTTTTTAGTCAAGAATATGAGGATCATCACATATCTAAAACTGAATTACAGAACTTGATTTAGGTTTAGTGACGCAAGTCCCATTAGACTTTATGCGTTTAGTTTGTTTAGGCGTTATGAAAAAAATGATACTAAGTTGGATATGTAATGGACCAAAAAAATGTAAATTAAATGCTTCTAAAATATCCAAAGTATCAGAATGGTTAAAAATTATACGTACATTATCCCACCGAATTTTCGAGACAGCCTAGGTCTTTAAGTTTATTCAAGTATTGGAAAGCAACGGAATTTAGAGCTTTTCTTTTATATTTGGGTCCCATTGTTTTAAAAAATATATTATCGAGTAGTTTGTATAAACATTTTTTGATGTTTCATTGTGCAATATACAGATTGTGTTGTAATAATATTGATCAAAATAATGTATGATGTATATAACTTTGGAGAACTAGATTCCTTTTCAACATTTCCTTTTGAAAACTTCATGTGTAAAATAAAGAGGTTACTTCATTCGCATAATATGCCATTAGAGAAAATTGCTAAATGGCTGGGTGAAAAAGCAGCTGACAAGAAATTTGATAATAATGTGAATATTAGTAAGAAAAATAATAAGGCTATAATTCGTGATGGACGGATAAAAAGATTTTTTGTATTTAACTGTGCTGTAAGTACTTGTTTAAGAGATTCTTGTTTTGTTACTTTCAATGGAGATATTATTGTGGTTAAATCTATTGAAGTAGAAGCAAAATCTGATGCTTATACTTTACACTATATAATAGTTTTTTAAACAAAAAGATTTTTACAAAAAATCCATTGAAAGTAGCAAATTGAGAATATACATGGTCAGTGGTGAAAAAAATGTTATTGTCAATTCAAACGATTTAAGCAAGAAATGTTTATTGTTGCCTAATTTTGATAGTAATGACCATTCATTTATCTGTGTACCTTATGTGAGTATGAATTTGCACTATTAAGTGTTCGAGATTTACTCAATGAGAAATGCTAGTTTCAATTTTAAGAGTGTGGGGAGTGAGTCAATTCCATACAATTTGTGGTGCTCTTACACAGCTATAATATGTTTTAAAAACCTACTGATTGTAATTTTTTCAAGTTTTGTTTTTTTTTGTATCACGCCAATTCATGGTTTTTCAGCCAAATAAAATATGGTTAAATTAACAATTGTATTTTATTTTTACAGCCTCACCAAGATGCCCACCAAGACTACGAGACGTACTGCAGTGTTCCTCATAAAAGGCAAGGACACTGGGCCAAACTGAGGATTTACTCGTTATAGCGCCAACATTGTTTTACAAAGTAAGACCTTCAGACACATTATTGTGGGATTTACAAACGTCAGTTTGAATAGTAGGCATGTCATCGGGTTCATGAGTATTTACCAACATTGGTAAAAACATTTGATAAATACATTTTTTAATTAAATGTTTTATTACGATATTTTGGTTGGCCATTTGATACTTTTTAATAGTGCTGATATTCATATGTTTTCATGAATTCGATGATATACTGTGCAGTCAGTTTGTAAGCCCTACAAAGATGGTGTATGTAGGCCTTACTTTGCAAAATATGTTGGCCCTATTATGAGTAAATCTTAGTTGGCCCTGTGTCCTTGGCCCTTTATGAGGAGCACTGCAGTTGGCCTTATATAGTAAAAGTTAAGTTAGGCCTACGATTAAATACCACAGTTGCCCTACCATGAACGGTCAGCCCAACGTTATAGAATGTTTGTTGGCCCTATGTGAGAAAATTGTGGGAAAATTCGCAGTTGGCTTTACGTCGTAAAAGGTGACTAGGACCAACGAAGGAAAAGCTTCAGTTGGCCCTTTCTCCAATTGTAACGGTGGGCCACGGTACTTTAGCTTTGTGGGCAGCAGTGCAATCAGGGGTGCCATTACCCACAGTTGACCAACCGAACAGCAAACAAAGGCCCAACGAATTGCCGTACCAAAAATGCTACTAGGGAAAAGGGCTGGGTGATGATGGTGATTCCTGTTCCTGTTATTTAGGGTCAGCGCAATAGGTTTCTTCTTTCAAACTTCGCTATAGGCAGCTCATCTCAATAAACACTCTAATTTGGCCTTCCTCTCTTTTATATCTCTATCCGTAATAAAAGTTCTCAATTTTGTCTTAAGGATATATATAATATCTTCTTATTACAATCCTTTCTCTCAATTTTGCTCTCACTAACTTCACTTTCTAACTTTTCTAGTGTCATCATCGTAAATTTTGATCTCATTTAACATACAAATACAATCACTTTTGAAACTATCTTACGTAATCGAATATCATCCATCGGCTAGGATACTTTAAATTCCGTTTAAAATAACAACAGGTCTGATTTGGACTCCTAACCCTTCAATTATAAGCATATCAGGAGAGAATAGCAGAGGATATCTGGGCTTATTTTAACTATATTTGCGTCTTCCACATTTCTACCAGCACCTGAACCACATACTTACTATATACTATATTCTTGACTTTCATCCAAAATTAACTAGCGAAAAAAGCATTCACGGACGATAGATAGGTCTGATTAAGGACTTAACATTATCTACTGTTATAGTAAACATATATAAGTGTGTTAACTGGTTTCTCTTACCATGTCTTTGACGTTGTCCACATTTCTGCCGGAGACGATGGCAATGTAGACGTCTGACATATTGGACAACCTCTGTAGCGTGTGTTTGGTTTCTAAAGGTAACGTGGCGAGATCAGGATGTGGTGCGATGGGTGCCAATGTGCCGTCGTAATCGAGGAGGAGGACCAGCTTTTGCGTATATCCTATGTATCTGGAGATGTAAATATTCTTTTTGTATTCATTCAGTTACTGTCGGTTTTTTGATAATTCTATATTAGATGGAATAGAATGGTAGATACATTATAGAATTACATGACACAGTAAGTTCTGTCTTACCAGAAAGTTAAACAAGAGGAAACGATTATCTTAATATGTGTGAATCTTTTTGGAATGAATATTTCATTTATATTACAGATAAGGAGAGATATTCAGTAAGCGCATTGAAAAAAGCTCGTCTTGATATAATCGAGATTTAAGTAAGAATTATATTTACAGTATCTTTTAATTTTTTTTTATAGTATTACTACGTTAAGGTACAAAGTAAAAATCGAGAATCTTCTCCAAATTGTTCCCGAGAATGTAAATAATATTTACTTATTAAATCTATCACCACAATATTTTGGTCTAAAGAGCTGGTTCAGCTAGCATTTTCAATTTCGATATCTAGGTAAATACATCTAGAAGCAGAGTTCTCTTCAAATAAATTGAAAACAGTACAATAACTGAATCATTACTTAAAACCAATCTACTTACTTAGAGAGGTATTCGTCGAAATCGTCTATAGTGATGGGTTGCATGGATGTGGCACCTATATCGTCTGCTTCCTCTTCCAAAGAATCCATGGCTTTCAGGAAGTTTCTCATCCAGGAGTCGACATCGTTGAGCTGCTCTCTCCGTCGTAAGTGGTTCATACGCACTGTCCTTTCATCTTCTGGCATTATCAATGCTCTAGAGATATACGTTATGAAGTTTAATACACATTTAGTAGCTTACCAGTCTATATTGTATGTATTATCTCCTCTAGCCTATTTTACTAACAATATGAAACTTTCATTGTAACAACTATGCTGACGTTGTAATGGCACACCAATTTAAGACAATGCTTAAAACTCTGTACATTATATTACTTGGCACATTAGTATCTACTGTAACATTTGCTGAACTAGAAATATATTATGGGCATTTATCAACTTTAAACACAGATCTTCAAACAAGACTTGTTTAGTGACTGAAAATATCTTTTACCTGTGAATAACTTCGGCGGCGTCATCCAGTTCGTACGGATTACATATCAGAGCTTCGTGCATCATCTCACCGGCTCCAGCGAATGGTGATACGATCAATACACCAGGTGGCTTGTTGATTTGACAGGCAACGAACTCTTTAGCTACCAGATTCATTCCGTCACGTAATGGTGTCACGAGAGCTACAGCAGAATCACGGTAGAAAGCAGCCAACTCATCTTGACCAACGCAACCATATATATACCTAGAAATACAGAACTATTGATAGAAATAATTTTATGATAAGTAGTTTTGCTAATTTTATTTTCTTTCTTTCATATTGCCTCACCTAATCGGTGACCAGTTAGGGGTTGTGAATCTTCCGTTGATTCTTCCTACTAACTGATCCATCTCTTCTTTCAAGTCTTGATATTCTTTGACGTCTGTTCTTGAAGGTACTGAAATTTGGAGAAGCACCACTTTCTCTATGTGCTCCGGATATTTCTCCAACAGCCTCTCGAATGCTTTCAGTCTGTGTACTAAACCCTTGGTGTAGTCCAACCTGTCCACACCTAGGATTACTTGTTGGCTCGTAGAGAGTACTTGTTTCGCGTTTTGGGCTAAATGCACGAATCTGTCGAAGGGGACTCCGATGGGTAAAGGTCTGACACAGATGGTTCGACCACCCAACTCGACTAGAAGATTTTTTCTGTCCACACGACAACCTAAGTTTCTTTGGCAACAGTCTATGAAATTTAAACAGTAGTCTGTGATGTGGAATCCGACCATATCGCAACCTAAAAACACAATAATATTAAGTTCCACAAAATACGTTCTAAACAGGTTCTTAGAAGACGCAACTTACTATCTTTAACTTACCCAGAATTCCTTGTAACACCTCGTCAGACCACGGGAATAATCTGAAGATATCCCACGGAGGAAAAGGTATGTGTAAAAAGAATGCAAGTTTACATTTAATGTCCTCCTCTTCCACTCTCTGTAAAAGTTTGGAAAATATTCACTATAAGAGTTAATTCAGAGTTCAAAGTTTCACTAACTTTTTTTTTTATTAATATAAACCTGTCTGATCCAATTAGCAGCCAACATAAGATGGTAGTCGTGGACCCAAACTATAGGCGGAGATCCGTTTTTTTCCTTGTCTTCTTTTAGTAAGTGCAGAGCGTGTATGGTTTTCTCAGCGAATTCCTCGTTAATCTTAATGTAAGCCTTCCAGTGGTCAGCAATGAACGTGGCTCGATCAGGCATGGAGTGGAACAGGGGCCAAAAGGTTCCATTGCAGCATCCATTGTAGTAGCTATCGAAGAGGTTCGGTTCCGCGCGTATTGGCACGATCTAAAATGAGAGATCTATCGTCAAACCATAGCCACGAATAACTTTTTCGGTAAGGGACTTTGCAATGCATCAAATATTTTAATATTTTGAGCATATTGGCAAAAGGAACGCCATGGGAAGCAAAGCCACAGTAGAGACAGTAGGTAATAAAAAATAATAAAATTTTCCGAAAAGTATGATTTGTTTACACATACAATATAATGGTTTGTAAAATGACAGGCTCCCTAGTGGGTAATAGCTATGGACAAAAATATTTGCCGTAATAATTTTTAGATGTTAACGTCAATTCACTCCTTGAGACATTGAGTGTTGTTACTCATGAGCCGAGTCAGTGTTACATAATAGCTGTATACGGTGTAGACACGACCGATTCATAAGGTATTATTGATCTAACCAGGCTTTGCCAGACAGAAAACGTATCGGGACCATGTCGAGACCTCGCCATGCTAAGTTTGTTGTGACGGTTGTGGTGTTGTGCTGCAGTCTTAGCCCAAACCGAAATCACTCATTTTAAACTAATCGTGAATATAAAAATATACAAGTAATTTTTGCAAAAGGGTTTTTGTTTAATTGAAATATTATTTCCTGTAAAGAAGACCTTAAAAAGCGGATAGAAAATTTCGAAATCTGGACTTACAGACACATGTTATCCATAGACAGGACTCAAGAGGGAGGGACCAACGTGGAAGTTTTGAAAGGAATAAGCATGTGCCTTTTTGGTCAATACGTTCAAAACTTTTCAAAATTCACAATTAAACGATGAAAGGTTTCCTATTTGGGTCTTGTTCTTCGATACCAACTTTTCGCAACTTATAATGATGGGCAAAATACTCGGGAAAAGAAGCATTGGAAGGATGAAAAGTCGTGGCCCCGAATTTTCAGAGAGTGAACGGGAACAGTTAGTGCAGTCGAGCTGGTTCGATTCGTGGGAACTAAGGGCTGTTGTAAGAAACTGATGGTCTTCACTCACTAGTTGGAGAGGCACTTTCAGAAGAAGATGGATTCCTTAGAAAATTCTTGATAATCTCACCTTTTTAGAGAGCAGGCCGGCCGTTGGCGTCTTGTCATTTGGATCGGACTCCGGGATCTTTTCTTTGGGATCGTCGAGATGTATGCCAGGCCATCCCACCCAGATGCCATGGCCGCGTATCACCACAGGCGCTACCGCGGTCACTAGCCCACCGGCACTGGAACATGATTAATGACCACTGTAAATGAGACGTAATCACATCCAGAATTTTAGTTAGAGGTCACAAAATCCAGTTTTACTAATATGTAATAATAAAAAACAACTCGCCGCGCTATCATAACATAGAAGTTTAATGAAATAAAACTCCATTAGCCTGTTTCGCAGAAGTAGTATATTCTTTATATAAGTTTATTGATTTTCAAAATTATTTTTTATTTGAAAGCTTATCCTAAGATCTTGAGGTGGTCCCATAACATATTTCCTATCAATAGAAGTTTCTTGAATAAATGAACAATATAAATATAATCAGAAAAAAAGGTAACAAAATAAGTAGGTATATTTTTTATTTTATGAAGTCTGTTTTATTTTATTTTTTTCATAAGATTTTTATTTATTGTAATTTTACAAGCTATTCTGATACGATTATCCGTTGTCTACAGATTTAAATTTTTTAATTTCAAAAAATTATAAATTTTTAAATAAAAGTTTAAAAAAGATCCAAATCCAATTTCATTGTTAAAATTTCTAATCTTTTACTTTTACATATAAAGATAAACTTTTAAGATAAACAAACATATTTTTTTTTATCAATCGACATCGAAACAACTTTTCGTCTCAAGAAATACACAATAGTTTACATATTTGTTTTTATACCTGCCTATGTAAAATATTGTTTTCGTGTTAGGAATACCTATACCCAAAATTGCGTTCCAAACAGTAATGTAATATTTTACGAATTAACATCGTTCAATGAGGACAAACAAGAAACTTAGCACGCAAAACGTTTTTTCCGAATCCATTTAGATAGAACTAAGTCGCAATAACTTCTTTTACTATGCAATAACTCACCTTGAGTACTTGACGACAATATTACATCACTCAAAATGTAATTTGATTCACAAATAAAATTGCTTTCAAACAAATGCTACGGTATGATGTATGTCTCATGAAGTTATTGGCGACTTCCTCTAGACCCGTATCAAATAAGATTTGGAGTGTCGTGGTAGTCAATGTTGCTAACATATGTATATGTTATATCTAGGCAATTTGAGAGGTATAACGTTGCAAGAAGAGATATTTTTCATAATAATTATTTATTAACCATACCAATTGTTATGTTTCAATGTTTGGATTTTAAATTATATTGTTAGCAGTTTATTAAATAATTTCACAAAAAACGAAGGAAGTCTTAAATTTCTAGGCGTACATAACAACACTTGCGAACTAGAATTCATGACGAATACAAGAAACTTCTTTTGAAAGTCGTGAGTAGATTAGCTTTGCCATGTTTTTATTTTGTAGTAAGTATGATTATTAGTACTAACTGTTTATTGACTTTTATAAGTATGTACTTAAATATTTATCGATTTTCAAGTCTGATTTAATAATAATGAATATTTTTAATGATATACGTATTATAGCCGATTACGAGATCCCCAAGATAGCAAAAAAAACATTGATGTTTTTTGAGACCAATATGGAAAAAAATATCTAAAGAAAACACGATGATAATGTGAAATTAATCTCAGAAAATCTTTAGTACCTAAGCTAATGTAATATTCTTCTAAATAATTAGTACCTAAGCTAATGTAATATATAACCAAAAACCTAGTTTGAAGACATCCGTAGGGATACAACATAATGATTAAATTTTCCAAGCAGAACTACTTTGATGTCTGCTTGCAATTCTGCAAAAATCCAAACCCGAATTCGAATTCACTTCAAATAGCAGCATCCCCTCGATCTTGAATTGGTAATAACGTTTCTTGGCATGAGTGATGTTTCAAAATGATATAGAATTAGAACATCTGTGACACGTATATTCAATCAATTTTGTTTTGTATTCTTATGCATAAATGGAATCGATAGAATTTCTACACTAAATAACGTGAATTGGGACACACGAGTGAATTCGAATTTGGGTCTGGATTTTTACAAAATCGCAGGGCTGGTGTCCGTGTACACTTCAAAACGGAGAATCCGCTCAATCTTGAATCGGTAATAATGTTTCGTGGCATAAGTGAAGTGAGTTTTGAAATGACATAAGAATAGAATATTTAAGACATGTATGATAAATCAATTTTGTTTTGTATTATTTTTATACAAAAAAATGGAATCAATCGAATTGCTCCACTAAGTAACGTGATACATGAGCGAATTTGAATTCGGGGTCGGATTTAACGGAATCGCTCTGCTGATATAGGTATAACATTGTCGATAAGAGTGAGTTTCAAGAACAAAATGTAGGATATGTAAATAGTAATTAATTTTTCCTCGTTGCGATTATGTGATCATCGTAGTCACGTAATACGGGCACCTCTATACAGTGGGTCGTCAGTATTTAGGTTATCGATATTATTTATTAAATATTATACGTTAAGGCGTCTTAGTTCAAGGTACAATGACGATACTGACATAGTTTAAGTTCTCGACTTAACTACGCATCCTCATTACCATATATGTACTTATGGGAGAGCCAGGGGTTTGTTAAAACGGAGATGAGTTGAAACAACCGCAAGCAATCAGATGAGTGAAATCAGATTTGTTTCACTCATCTCTGTTTTCAAACCCCTCGTTCCCTCTATCGCAGTTATAGAAAATACTTAAGCTACGAAGAATGTAGCGGCTTTTATTTAAGGCTGCATAAAGAAGAGTAAACTATACTAACCCAACAGTTTTTAAATATTGTGAAATCAGTGTTGTTTCACTCATCTCTATTTTCAAACCCCTCGTTTCTTCTATCGCAGTTACAGAAATAGTTAAGCTACGAAGAATGTAGCGGCTTTTATTTAAGGCTGCATAACTAAGAGTAAACTATACTAACCCAATTGATATACCCAGTATATTATCTTAACATAGATTACAAAAACTGTTTTCGGTATTTCGTGTGTTTTCATGTAAGAAGGTTTAATATCAAGTTGTAACTTTTTGTCATATCCAAAGATAAATTTCCTAGAGAAATGTCGTCGAGCGCAATAATATATCGTGTAAATAAACTAAAAAAGAAAATACCCTCCTGAGGGGCATGATTCGATTGTAAAATATATTTTATTTCAACTTCTAGAAGACTCTCTATTTTATTAATGACATTAATTTATATATATATTAGATAAATTTTACATTCACAATTAAAAGATCCTTTAAAAACCACTTTGTCCCTGGCACTGGGAACCCTTTCACCTTTCGCAATCCAGGCGACTGATACATTATTTTTTTAATACCAAATGTTTTGTCAAAAAATACAAAAGATTTCAAACTTTAAAAAGTGAGAAATTATACTTATCTTAAAATCGACTTATTCAAGAAACTGCTATTGAAGTCGAGCGGAAGTTTTCTGTGCGTTATCAATAGGGATGACGACTAATTTTTGTTTGTTTGTCCGTCAGGTAGAGTGTTAAAGAATATTAAACATGTATTTTTTTATTTTTTTCGTAATCATAAAATTACGGCGTTACATGGAGTTGAAATTTCGCATGACGTCACGTTAGGGTACGTTTTCTACTCAACTGTGACGTAGCGAGCCCCCACTCCTCAACTTTACTGCCTGTTAACTAAGCTATTTCTTGTTAAATTGAAGTAAAAAAAATACGTATCTAATATTTTTGTATTATCTCACTGACGGACTAAATACAATTGCATTTTTTTTATCCAGTCGTCATCCCTATTACGGCGATACATGGAGTTGAAATTTCGCATGACATCACGTTATGGTACGTTTTCTACAAAACTGTGACGTAGCGAGCCCCCACTCCTCAACTTTAATGCCTGTTATCTAAGCTATTTCTCGTTATATCAAAGTAAAAAAAAAAATACGTATCTAATATTTTTGTTATTATCTGACTGACGGACTAAATAGAATTGCATTTTTTTTACCCAGTCGTCATCCCTAGTAAATAGTACTGAATGTTAAGGCAAATGAATGAGGAATAATGGTTTTTGACTTACATTTTAGTATTGTGTTCTATGAAATTCTTATGAACTTAAATCATTACTTTAGTATACTATGGTGTTAGAGTTCAATTTTTTTTTTTTCATATCTCTTGAAACTGGTTTACCTAAGTTTTTGTTTTCATTTTTACGAGGAACAATAGTTCATATTCTATTATTTATTCTGGCCGTGTATACTAAGATGCCCTACGAAGGGTTCTGAACGATTTGGCCTTGCACGTTGCAGAGTCGATCAACTTTGATGTATTTTTAGCAACACACGTTACGACGAACCGCGGTGAATGCTTCTATTATAGATAAATGGCCTATGTCAACCAACACTTCAACCTAGGTACTGGAACGTCCGACTGCATTATAAACTTTTTGCGCTCTGGCTGGCCACAAAAGAAATACGAAATAGAGAAAAACAAGCGATTTTTTATTTATTTTTATTAACATTTGCGTTTTGTTTCTCCAGACAGTCATGTTGACAGTTATTGTATAAATGCAGAAATAAATAAAAGTGAATCAGAACTAAAAAAGTCCACAATATTATTATGTTATGTTATTAAAGGAGCACAATTTTTTTACAGATAATTTAAAAGCGTTAAGATATAAGTCTAAACTATTCGAATATACATTAAATGTTTAATATCAATCTCTTTTTAGCCAAAGACTTGTTTTGAGTAACTGATTTTAATTTTCCCCGATCTTATTATTCTAATAGAAAAACTTTGGGAAAGACATTAAAATTAAGTGGCCTAACTACTTGAAGTTAATGGACGTAATTTTAGGATTTATTTCAAGATACTCTTGATAACCAGGAAAATGGTTTGAGGGAAAAATTGATTGGTAACTTTTTTTATAGGATTGATTAAAATTTAGAGAATGTATTGGTCAAATCCAGTTAAATCGGTTGAGTAAAGTTTGCGATAAAAAAAAACTTGTTATGTTACACATTCTTATGCACCTGCTTACGCATTTTCCCTGGGTAAAAATAAAAAATTATGTCAGAGAACCAATTCATAGATAATTATTCGTGGAATAATTTTCTAATAATGATATAGGTATTTATTTTTAAAAATCTTTCGTATGACTTTTCTTGATGGATATACTTGCTTATGTACGGTTGGTAAGTACATTAATTGAGAGAAGACGTTTTATTTGCTGGAGAGTTTTTGGAATTTATTTTCTAAAGTAGGAGAATAAACGAAATTAATAAAAAATGTAAAAAAAAACTCTAAAAATTAATGTTCTTATTTTTAGAGTTACACTTTCCTTTAACCTTTTAGATTCTGTGATAGTTTTGAAAATAGAATAGTGTTAGAATAATTAAAGAAAAAAATAGTTTTGTGCTAACGGAATAAGTTACTTTCTGTTTAACTAGTTGGTCGAGATACTTTCAGTTTTTCCTATTAATTTATTTTTATTACAATAGCATGTTTTGCTTAGTTAATGTCATTGACAATACATAATGCTCTGCAAACAATTCAAGTCCAAGGTTACAAAGAGGTAGCATAAAATATTATACACTCATTTATGATGCTAACGATACTAGCAAGGTTGCTTTAGATGAAGAAAATTTTTAATTTGGCCGGGTTATAATTTGTTTCAGTTCTAAAACTTGTTTGGGCAAAGTTATTGAACCTTGACATAGGAAACTATTTCCTCAGTTTGAAGTATTACGACATTTTTCATTTAATATTATAAACATATATTATTGTTTGGATTATATTGATTCCAAGTTTATTTTTCAGGTCACGGTCAACTTGTTTAAGAACCGGTCCTCATGGAAATACATTATAAAGACTCATAATTTCTCGTCATGTTATTTAATTTTAGTTCAGGAATTTCTCATTATTCGTGTTTTTATAGATAACCAGTGCTCCTGGGGTAATACAACAATGGGGATATTCACAAAATGGCGAATTCCCTCAAAGTCAGACTTATTTTTGCTATCAACAATAAACTGTTAACAATATCACATAAACTCTCAATTAGATATGTTAGTCGAACAAACATATTGTTTTATAATATTTTGGGAATTTTCCCGGTTTCGTGTTTACCCCAAAACACTATTTACTTAGATAATCTTTGAAATTAAGTTATAAGCTTTCAGAACTTTCCGTTTTAAAAAACCCTATTACCACGATAAATAAAAAAAGAAAAATCATACACTTCCTAAAGACGAGTAAAAATGAGAGATTAGTAAAGAAAATTTTGATGTTGATGTGAGGTACAAATTCTACATAATCAAATTACAAATACGATATGAGTAATAAAAATATAGTTATTATATAAAACCAACACATTACTATAGCTCTGACTATTATTCTAATCGAGGTAATGAATATGAATCGAAAAACAAAAAAAATATATTTTCAGATAAGATTTTAGTTTTTCGATTCCCATTGTGTAACAAAGGTAAAAAGCCGGCTTAAGCATGCGCGGAAAGTTCCCGAAACCGAAGAAAGATTCTCGAACGTTAATATTCTAGAAAGTCTTTGAAGTTTATTGCCGGCTGAAATTGAATTTCGAATCGTGGTAAAATTTAAATATTTAGTTATTCTATTCAAAAGATCTTTTTGTTTTCTTTGTTCTTACACTGTTTATTCTTGATAATTATGGATGTAACCTATTTACAAGCTACTCGAATATAAGCGGTTTTATTCTATTTAGTTTCGCTGTTAAATATAATTCATGTAACATCTGTTACTAAAGGCAGCATAATATATTTTTGCATATATTTTGTACACTCATGTTTCATTCATATTCGTCAATTAAATAATGTATAAATTTTAGATTTCGGAAAAAATCTATTCTTCAAATTAATTTGCATCAATTCTTAAACAATTTAACACTTTTTAGACATTGTAATAACAAAATTATTGACGTACCTGGCCTTCCGTTCCAGGTCTCCGGTCTTCTCATTCCTTTTCAAAATGAAAGGCAATCTGTTTGAAACAACAATCATGCTCCCTTTGCTGTTGCACGAGCTACGACTGACACAGTTCTCTATAACACCCATAATTTTCGGTTTTTCGTACGTTCCTTTCCACGACCAATCACAGAAGCGCTGTAGCGCATGCGCCCAAAAAGCGTGGGAAAATTCAAATTGAGAACGAAACTAATTTTTAATGTAAATGTAACGTCACTGTACGCGTTTGGTCATCGCAAGTTATTCGGATTAAAATGTAATGGCGATAAGCAACTAAATAAACATCTTCGCCGGTGTTTGGAGGCGAACTGTTGTCTGTGGCGCGCGCCTGGTGCCTTTATAGACTACGTAAGATGTGTCGCATAAGGGCAAAGATTTTTTACGTCTGCGCGGAGGTCCGCCACTGGGGTTATCAACTTATCAAACCGGCGACCCATCCCGTGTTGTCTTATATCGACTCGCGAATTTTTCTCGGAAACACTAGATAACGTGTTGAACTTTCCTAAGTTGTGTGGGCGTAGCTGAATTAGTATAATTTATTGATACTAGTTGGAATCACATCTAAAAATATATGTCCGATACTTTCATTTTATTATACTTATATAATAAAACCACTGTTATAAGACCTATTTAAAAGTGTACCCATCTGTTAAGTGCGTAAGTAAATATTCCTAAATCATTTTAAATATACTCGCCATCAATAAATTGACCCTAACAAATTGAATGTTTTGATTATTTTTTAATCTTCAAAAACATTACTTAACAGTAAATACTTAACGCTTCAAACGAGTCCGCATTCAAGTTAGGAGCACGCAAACACTATCTTGCATCAACCTACATTTCTTAAAGGGCCTATTATATGGATACTAGCAGCTAAGTTGAATTATTCTAGAGTCTGTTTCGACCTATCGATGTTATAAAGTTACAGCTGCTTGGGGTACACTTTTCAAGAGATTTGACGATGAGTTTCACAATAATAATCTATTGATTTTGTGTATTCTAGAGCATCAATGACATTGTGATAAAATATAGTGAAATATGGTTAGAATTTCAGTTTAAATTTAAAAGAAAATTGAATGTTTTACCTATGTATTTTTTTTATTCCATTATCTTTTATATTTGTGTAATACTTAGTTTTTCACGGGGTTGTTAGCAAGTGTCATGATCAAGGAGTAACTGTAAGATTAAATTTTTTAGCTTGGCCACATTATAATATATATTTTGTTTTAGTCTTTTAACGATCCTTTGTCGTTGATCGGCAGATTATGTCTTTGTTTTTAGAATTTAAAAACAGTGTTTTAGTAATACAAGTGGAGAGGCATTCTAAGCAAATATTGATTATCATTTGTATTAGTAGTTAACAGTTATTACTGAAACTGTGTTGCTCTTTTTACTGGTAAAAGCAGTTTTTAATTGATATCCCTCTGAATTTACTTAACCTTAAAAATAAGCTTGGTTTTAGCATTTTTTGTCCTAATTATGTGTGTTTTTATGAAAATATTCTACGTGCAATAAAGTAGGTAGGTATGCATTCATACTTTATCATTATTTTTTTTGCAGTGTATTTAAAATAATGGAATCTGTATTATGGTAATTAGCAATTAGGTCACACAAATAACGTATATAGAGAATTCCAGAAAAGCTTGATCCCTTATCTGTAATGTTCTCGATGTTCTGGAAGTTTTACTCGACGATTAGTCGATATGAACAGTTAGTCGATTAAAGAAACTCTTCAAGAATCTCATTACATACAAAGCGATTAATATAGATATGTAGTTTATAATGAAAATATTATAATTAAGTCAAATAGGGTAAGTGAAACATATTCGCACATTCTTACTGTAAGTAAAAAAAATATTTTTTATATGAATTCAATCATATTCAATAGTCTATATTTGTCATAAATTAAATAAAATGATATGAATATAATGTTTCTATTTGTGTTACTAGTTATATTTATATAATAGTTTAAGATACCTAATTAAAATGGGGCTGTTCATTGCAGTTTCATAAAAATAACGGCTATTTACAAAAATATTAAGGAAAGCTGTAAGTATATGTTATGGATAAAAAAAAATCAGAACATCACATTAGAAACGCAAATCTATTGAAGATATTTATTTGTCTAAAGTCCCCATTTATCTAGGTAAATTCATTTATAAATTTTATTACAAGCAGCAGTTGTCGGCTGACGGGAATAGTTTCCATTGCGTTCACGCAAATACGCGGGCGGCGAGCGTGTTGCCGCCGTGATGCGCACGCGCCCTACACGTGCCAATCGCGCGTGGATCACTCTTGACCTAAACACACCGGTTGCATTGAATGGTCCACACATTTGCTATCTATCTAATAATTTCTCGAATTATTCGTTATCTTCCCATTATGTTATCGGAAAACAAACCTTATGAATGATTGTAAAAATTACATAATCACATGTATGTATGTAGAACAATAAACTGTGACGTAAGTAAACAATGTGTAAACTTGACCTTGATATTCTTAAGAGGTTTAGGTAGAAATCGATCTTCCGTCGTACAAGTTAAGTTGTTTGTACATTCATCGATGAATCAATAAAAAGAAAAATATGATGATTTAATAAAGATTCCTCTTGTAATGATCTTAACTGAAAGTAAATAGCTGATATGTTATGTTATTTTCAATATTTTTATCTATTCTGAGGTTATGACGTCATATCTGAATATTATCGTATTTATTTACTTAGCTGTTTTGAAAGCGCCGACTAGTCATAAAACAAATATTGCAAATAAAGTAAAAGTAAAACTGTTTGGAAAGTAACAACTATAAAGGAAAAAAAAGAAGTTTCTTCTGAAAAAGTTGTTTCTGAAACCGGTGAAGTAAACAAAAAAAAAAAAATTCAGCAGTTGATCTCTGATGCGTAATGTTCCGGGTCACTTATGAAAACCTCGTTATCTTCCAAAATATCGAACATAGTTCATTGAAATGAGTTGTACGTAAGAGAATTTATGATTCAGTAAGTTAAGTATACTGATCTCTTTTTATTTACTTATTAATTTTTAATTTTTACTTTCAGTTTATTTAAGTGACTCGGAATTTTTGTCGTCTGCTTAATTCGTCTTTATTACGATAATAATCATTTCACTTTAAAGTACATTTAAATATAAGTAGTATTTCACTTAAATTACGAAACTCTTCCAGTATCAATGTTATAATTTGTTTTACCGATTTTAATAAATTTACCTATATGTTTTACCAATTTTACATTATTGAAAGAATTTTTTGACTTTTATGAAATTAGTTATTATCAAAAATACTGTATACCTTTTTACATTAACTGTAAACGTTTAATATCCTACTAAAAAAAATAGATGTACTGTTATATCATTAACATAAAAAAATATAACTTGATAATAAGTTCTACGTAACTTCCTACGTAATGACAACTTCGTAGTTAAAGATCCAACAGGATATAACGCAAATAAACTGGATATTTACCAAACCACGTGCGTTTATTATTATGAATTGCGCTTACGATTAAGGTGCACGGAATAATTAAGATAAAACCTTGAAGAGCGAACGGCATCGAGTTCTCCTAACATTGTTTAGCAAACAAAGAAATTCCAACTGTAATGAGCTCAATATAAGTGCGGTTCTTGTATGCATCGAATTCGTACTGTGACTATGATTGTTTACGTTTGTGACGTCATAAAGGTGATTATCAAGTCTGAAGTTTTCCGAGGCATGCAGCGGTCGGCATATTCATTGTTTAGTTTGAATCGTTTAGTGTTAAAGTAAACATTTATTGTTATAACTATAATATTATTTTAAACGGTAGCGTTGCTTGCTCGTCACGATTCCTAGTTGTATACGAAACAAAGTAATGTAATAAATATTAACAAAGTACGAGCTTTTTCTTTTTTTTTTCTTTTGGCTTCACACGGTTTGTGTATTTGCCAGTGTCAAAGGTAGAGAAACGATGGTAGGAAAAAGGGTAGGATATGCGACAGGTTAGCAATAGGATCAGGAAACGAAAATATTAATATCTATAAAATATATACGTTATATAACATACATAAAAAGTAATAACGATATTTAGACTTTAATATTATTTGACATTATAAAAGACGCTATGCATTGATATACTGATATGTTATTAGACGAGAGCAAAGAAACTATGGATGTGGGAAAAAGTACGAGCTCTCTTGCTATGTAAAATAGAGGAAAGTTACCAAATATAGATTATATTATCCCTAATATAAAATTCATTCTCAAATTATTCTTTATGGAAAAAATGTAATAAATTACGCCAATCCTTCCACATGCAGATCTCAGTTTTGCTGGACCTATTGAACGTTTACAAATTTTAGGAATAATTTCAGTGTTTTACCACGATTTCTTATTGGTGCTATTTGGCAAATAAAACTAGTCAATGTTTTGTCAACCATTTTGAACAAACATGGCAGTTACTTGTCCAATGAGAGCTAAGTAGAAATGAGGCTGTACAAGCACGAAATGATAGGTTTATTTTAATATAAATTAGAGATACGTTGCAGCTAAGGGATGTCAATTATGGTGTACAATAAAAATATTCATTCATTCATTCTTGTTTATATTTTTGTTTATATTTTAAATAGATTAAAAAAAATGACAAAGAAAAAGTGAAATGTACTAAAAAGGCTGGCAACAGCATCACAAAAGAATCATAAGCTTCTTGCTATTATATGGCCGAGTGAAGTGTGACCTTAAAAAGATAATAAATTTAATATTATCACATTTTAAAAGTTAATAACAACGGTAATTTCCATTATAAAAAACTAACATACACTTGATTTCGTTCTGGTTTTAAGTGGATTTTGGCTGTAATCACCTAATTATGGAATTGTTAGATAATATTGTAGATATTAATAAGATAAGTGTCACGAGTAGACAATTTTGAATCATCATACTTATCAGGAACTATTTAATAATTCCTTATCATACCTAGATTAATATAATGATAGAGGAGCTCGATGACGCCGTGGTTAGTGCGTTCGGTCTACAATACGTTTGTTTAGATACTTTCATAATGGCAAGTCATAGGATGAGTGACCTAAAAATTATTATAACGATCT